TTTTGAATTCTTGTATAATACTATAAGTGTTCATAAAATATTATATAAGAAAAATTATTCATGTTTGTAAAAAAAATTTTTTCTAACAATTGATTCTGATGTAGAAACATTTGTGCACGAAATTAAAGGAAAAAGTCAGAAGAAATGAGAGCCAAACTAATGCTCACTGGACACTTTTTTTCCAATTTTCATGATATCTTTGCCTGGCACCGAAAAAAAAAAGAAAGAAACAAAAAAAACTTGGTGTATGAAAAGAGGCCCAGGCTGACTCGAAACAGCTGGCACCTCCCTGTGAATGACAGAAAAAACGTCCCTGGCGGTATACAGACAGCTAGGGCGCAAATATTGGACGTGGCGTCAAAAATGCGAGCGCGAAAAAACAGGCAGTCGCGTTCGAGCTATTGTATGTAGATGCAATCATTCTTTGCCAACTTGTTTTCTTTTTTTCTTTGTTAAAATTGATTTGCATCAATTTTCCAGTTTATTTTAACGACTTAAGCTCGTTGATGGAAAAAAAAGATAATTCCCGCATCGCGTTTAATCTTAAAAGCACTATTTCATTGATACACAATTTACATGCAATCCATTTTAATTGATCCGCGCGAGAGATGTTTTGCATTTAATCTCTTCATACATGTATTTTCACTATCACTCATTAGCACGTTAATTCTATTTTCCGTCCAGATTTACGGATTTTTTACTAACTACTATATACGTGCTGAAAGCTTTTAGGAATAACGCTAAATAATGCGAATTCGCAAATATGTAAATGCTACAAAGTTAGGTCGAATTGATGCACTAATGTAACAAGTACATTTAAAATTGTACGTGTATTGCGTGGGTGTAGACTTGCTCGGAACTTACAAAACTTTGCGAGGTGCGAAAAAATAATTGTACAGCAATGCGTTTTGAGGGGGACACACCGAACAGTTGGCCGATCAGTACCGCACAAATCTTGTGAATAACGTCAAAGTGCACACGGAGGCTCGCGTGGAAAAGTTCCTGAAGCTGTGCGGAGATATTGGGTGCAGCAAAGAGAGGGACAAGGTCAAGGCGAGACTGGACGAGTTGTTTGACAACAACATTTGCCTGTGCCCCGAGCTGAAAGGACTCATCGGGAACCAGCAGCTCCATTTTTGTACTCCACGGGAAACAAGTGCAATAAGAAGCGAAGGAGAATGCCACCGAGGACAAACCAAAGTGGTGGAAGTTTTTGGATTTGAAGAAACTTAAAATTTTTACGTGGGCTTCTATACTGTTAGCTGTGTACGAGAGAGAGAGAGAGAGAGAGACTTGACTTGACTTGAAACACGTTTATTTATATGCCAAGGACTTAAAGTCCGTATGGCAAAGCCAACTTTTAGTACATTAGTAAGTTATAAAAATAATATAATAAATATTTATGTATAAAATCCATTAGGTAAAGCGAGGTAACATCAACAGTCAACTGTTAAGTGCTTTCATTCAAAGACATTATAAACACGAAAGTACAGTGGCATTTGCAATATTGGGACATAATTATCATTTGATAAAATTACAGTACTTTACAAGCGGAAAATAATGTGTTCTGATTCGTGTGCCATATTTTTTTTAATGTCTTCTAAGCAATATCATAATATACATACATTTGGTTAACTTTAAATTTCATTTTTTTATAAAATAAAAAAAATTCTCAACTTACCTAAAACTTATGTAAAAGCTTGCATTTAATATTAATATTCCCTTGGGAAAAAAAGTCCTCAATTTCAAAAACTCGCTCAATTTATCGAGCAAAAAAAAAAAAAAAAAAATTTTTGCTCCCACAACACGGCGTAACTTTAACGAGATCATAACTATTCCATACCTTGGTAAAGAAATTGTCGCCTTTGCGATTGACAGCTTTTTAATAGCTCCCGGGTCTCCCGCGTGCTCGAATCAATTTTCTTCACCACTATATTCCGCATAAATATTTACTTCGAGCCACACTCGTATATGTATATACATACGAAGCACCCCTGGCATAAAAGAATCGGCCTACAATCATCGCCACAAAGGACATCGATTTCGAGGGGCGTATAAATCGATTAAAGGCGCGGCTGACTCCCCGCACCCTTGGTAATTAGCAATTTCTACGGAAATGCGTTTTCGCACACTGGCATTGCGTGTATGCGTGTGTGCATCGTGTGTATTCGGGACAAATTGAAAAACGCGATTCTCCGGAAACGCTCGCCAGCCGAGCGGAAGGCATAAATATAAAAATGTCCTCGCGAGCGCGAGTGAGAGGGTCATTGTGTCGTACTGTCGTGGTGACAAAAGCTCCGCGTTAAATAAATTTAGCTTTTTTCCGCTTCCGCGGTGCTGTGGGAATATGCGTGAACGTTCGAACGAGGCAAAAAAAAAAAAAAAAGGAAAGACCTGATGAGAAGTGTTTGGTAAAAACGGGAGTACTGAGGATTGATGGGTATAGCGAGTAAAATGGACTAACGCAGGAACAAGTGAGGTGAATATAAATCCGCTAGAGGGAATTATGAGCATCGATGCGTGTGGTAGTAGCGTATTTTAATTATTTCGATTTTTTTGACCACTTGATGGCTAAGTACACTCGACTTGGAATTCTAGATGTGTCACTCCGCGAGTATGCATTTCGGCACTTTACTCAAAGATCTTATCTTGAGTATTAAGTTCATTATCGATACCGTTAAGTTAAATCACAAAGTCGTTAATTCAGGATATTTTGAAACTTACGTCCAACTCCCAAATCATGAAAATTCTAGAGAAACTGTAATAGTAATAATTATCAACCACCGAAAGTTCAAAGTTTAGGGAAATCTCATTGTTAATGTTAGAAAAAATTCAAGCACAACAATCATTAAATATCTTGCCATTTTTGATTTCTTATAATTTTCTCTTACCGTGTAGGTCTACTGGTCTCGACGGCTTACAACTGTACAGGCTTATTCAAGCAGCAAACAAAATTTACATAAAAAATTAATCCTACAAAAATGTGTACAACAGGTAAAATATGATTAGGTTACTTGTGTTGGTGTTAATAGGTACCTCAAAAATTGTGTTAAATTTGTGTGACTAAACTTACTTATTTAGAATCATTTTTTGACTGTCGGTTTTGTGTAAAGTTTATATATAGGTGTAGAATATTCCGTATGTACAGAGTTTTTTTGTACAAAGTTTATTCAGCACCTATCTATTTTATCAGTGTACTATTACTAAATGTTTTGAATTACAGTTGTTTGTATAAATTATTGTACTCAAAATATTGTATCAACATAAGTAGTAGAATATCTGTAAAAAATACGTCAATTTATGCGTCATAAAACAAGTATCTTATAAAATTTTATAATAAGAGCCGTAACTTTTCTTTATGAAGCATAAAGGTAAATACTTATAGGGAGATACTTTTTCATGAGCTTTTTTATTCACGTCGTATCTTTGAAAACGGATCATTTGGTTTTTTAATAAATAAACAAAACGTGTTTACAAAGTTCCACCTCTAAGGTTTTACATTGCGTTAATAAAAAAAGCTATAAAATAAAGTAGCTGTGCGCTATTCATCTGAAGAAGGTAGAAAAAGGCACAGTGTACCGTGCAGTAAGTAAAGACAAACGAAAATCATGTAAAACTACAATAGTTGGATTTTTCACCTTATTAAAACAGGTTTATTTAAATTAAACAAAACTATTTTATTTTGTAAGTCAGAATAAATGACTGAAACTGATTGGACAAAAAAATTAGTGTAATCCGGATTTATCTTCTCGTGTACGGCACGTTATCATGTATTCTGATAATTTTAAAAATTTTGTGGGTAAAGTTTTGTTTTGATACCACTGTTTTCAACCATAAGTATAAAAGCTTTCTTTTTGTTCAGAAGTAACTTAAACCTGTTATGATTTATCGTAAAGTTATTTTTTCAAATTAAAAAAAAAAAAAATTCAGTAAAACTTACATCAATTTTTTTTGTTTAATAGTAATTTTTTTTCTCTTGAATTTTTTTAAGAAAATCCACATCGTTTTTAATTGATTAATGACAGTGTAAACTATAAGACATTAAGTTCATAAACCTTATAAATGTTTTTATGATGCCTTAATAATGTTGAAAGACTAAAATTCTTCAAATTATAGAGAGTGAACCAAAGTACGCAGATTACCTTTGCAACTCATGGTAAGAGCCACAATGATAAGGTAGTACTTTAACATACCATAGCATGATAACTCAAAGCATGATAAATGATAAAAAGAAATTTTTTGTTACCATAAGCGTATTGCGTAAGCGTCGACTGAGTGAAGTTCTAATTATCAGCATAGATGGCGTTTGAGTCATCGAAAACAATAACGAAAACACAGCAACGTTCTCGCAACATCGATTAACTTTCTAGAAGGTGCATGAAATCTCGTTTCTAGAGATATAGATATTTGCTCGGCCATATGTTGCACTTTACCGGCTTTTCAAAATACTTTATTTGTTACGTTAAAATTCACGAAAAATCTTTTAACACATCGTGGTTGAATGATTACTCGATTGTATTACAGAATGAAAATAGCAAATTTTCAGTAACTAAGGTGTTAAAATTGATGATGAAAGAATAAATGCTCTAAGTTTATTCAAATAACAATAATCATCAGTCATACATTTTCACACAGTATTGCTTTGAATTCAATTAACGTTTCTTCTACGTTTGGGAGATAAAAAACCATACTTTAATTCATATCTAATAAAATAAATTAACATAGTATACAAAAAACTAGATAAATGAAATAATTAGTAATTCCTGCATTGTTTTACGACTTTTAACCAATATTCTATCAAAACCAATGTTGTAATCATTCGGTCCTCTCAATAATGTTGAATAACATGTACCCTCCCATGTTTTGGAACAAGATTGTTTGGAAGTTTCTCGAGAAGTTCTCGAATAATCGCGACAGATGCGCCGAGTGGAGGCGCTCGGATATATAAGAAACCCGTTTGCCCGGTAACCTCAGTCAGAATTCAACTGTTGAAGCGAAAGCATCATTTCGAGCGAAAGTTCGATTACGAAGCAATCCTATTCTCACTATACGGTGAATCAATTGTTTATTGACGATACTTGTCTATTTCGTGTTGTGTACCAAATCAAGGAAACATGTCGCTGATTCCACTACTGTTCTCCGACTGGTGCGATAACCTTGACGGACCACACAGGTTATTGGATCAAGGTTCGTAAAAAAATTTTTTCACATTTTACAATATCAAAACAATTAGTTGAGATTGAAAATGTATTTTTCTAGAATTTCTCTAAAGAAAAGTATTTTTTTATCAAAATGATGTTGGCATAGCGTTTTTTTAAATTGCTTGTGATTAGTGTCAATTTCTCTAATTCCTTCCTTCTTGTAAAGAAAAATATTAGTAAAAAACGTACAACTTTTTGGTCCATTGAGTACATTATCAAAAATTATTGGGTACGTACGTTGTTGTCAAATCACAATAAGGCATCCGCAATTTATGTGGGAATTTTAAAGCGCTTTGTCTTTGTTTTCGAGAAATAATAAAAATTACCCAATAATTGGCGATTATCTACCTAGTGGATCTATATAGTAGTCTGTACAGTTCGTAATTAAAAGAAATTGTCGACGCGACTGTTGTTTGTTTTATGTGTGAAGATAAACATAAAATTTAAAATAAAATGTCCCTTCTCATTTCAGATTTCGGCCTTGGAATCTACCCTGAACAACTTGTAACACCACGTCGGGTGGAACTATACATGCCAAAGCCTCAGCTGCGATCCAACTACCTCAGACCTTGGGCTGAGTTGCTCCGGGGTACAGAGCGCGGAGGCTCTTCCTCTGTTGAAGCCGACAAAGATAACTTTAAGGTTACCCTGGATGTCCAGCAATTCTCTCCGAATGAGATAAACGTCTCTACCAAAGATAACTACATCATCGTGAACGCCAAACACGAAGAGAAGCAGGATGAACACGGGTTCATCTCACGAGAATTCACCAGGAAGTACCTTATCCCAGAGACCTGTAATCTGGAGAAGGCCGAATCGAAGCTGAGCTCTGATGGTGTACTCAGTATTGTCGTGCCCAAGAAGGAGAAGCCCAAGGCAGAGAACGAAAAAGTCATTAAGATCGAGCAGACGGGCAAGCCCGCGTTGAAACCTAAAGAGAGCAGTGACAAGAAAAAGGAGATTGAAGAAAAGAAGTGAACTTTCAAAGTCTGATAATTCCACGTTTCATTATTTTGTTCCTTTTTTTATTAAGTACTCGCGTTTCGTTTGTAGAATTAGACTCCTAAGACTGAGCGATAAATCTGTAATGTAAGAATGAGATGAGTGTTTAATTGAAATCACACTGTGTATAGTTGATAGTGAATGAAATTCCATTTTTTCGTATCTTTTTTTATTTCCTATGTATAAAACAAAATACAACTTCTCGTTATTGTCAACTTCAAGTATTTCATAAATAAACTTTTAAGTCACACAAAATGGTCCTTGTATTGTTTTTTTGACCTTAAACATTTTTATACTACACAAGAATGAATATTTCAACTGTATATACATTTTGAATTAAACTAGTAAAAAGTTACATTCACGATAATTTTGTCTAATATACAAATGCTATCGATGAGCAGCTCTAAAAAAATTTTTTCAAAATAACGTGCCCTAAGTTGTTAACCTCTGCCAAACTTTTTTAAGTCAACACCTTAAGTGTATTATTATTATTACTGATCTAAACATATATAAAATTTTTTTAACAAATTAAATATGATTTTTGCACACAATATTAATTTGTACTACTCCAGTTAACTTTAATTCAATTAAGTATTTTATGAACAATGAGAGATGGTACTTATGTGCTCCTTTTTAATAATTACTTTTGTGTCTAATATATTTATGAACCTCAAATCAACAAACATGAACCACTTTTCAAGTAGTCTTATTTTAATTTTGGGAGTAAAAATTTGTTATGCTGTAAAGCTATTAATTGTACACAAAATATTTTTTAACCTTTTTACTTGAAAAGTATGTACTTAAAATGATGTTTTCGTAAAAAATAAAAATATAACAAATACTAATACAAATATTGAGAAAATTAATAATAAGACAGTATTAGAAAAAAATTTGGTTTATTACCAATCGTTTTAACAAACTAATACATCTACATTTCTACTGAAAAAGCTTACAACTTATAGACTACTGTAGATTGAATAATAATAATACTTATCAATCACGAATTTACAAAAGATTACTAGTGGTATTAACAAACATGAAATTGTTAAATATACAAAAGTATCAAGAGAATGAGGAGAAAACCAGTCTTATCCGGGAACAAACGGGGTAGATGTTCATTGACTATGAGCAACCTTTGTGTTTTCCATCTGCTGGGTTTCTTCTGTGGGTTCTTCCTTTTTCTTTTCAATGGCAAGTTTTCCAGTTTTTTCGATCTTTATAACTTTTTCGCGCTTTTGTTCGATCGACTCGGGCTTTCGTGGGATAGTGATAGAGAGTATACCTGAAAAGTAAATCGATCAAAATTTTAAATAAATCGAACTTCTGTTAACTTTTTTAATTGTTATTTATGTACAGTAATTTTTGTTCTTTATTTAACTGATTTTTATTGTGAAAAAAAAACAACGTAATTATTAAAAAAAATTAAAATATAAAAAAAAACAGATTTAGTAAAATAGTTAATATTTACCATCTTCTGAGAGAGTACTTGTGGCTTTTTCTGTTTCACAGATTTCTGGTACCGTGTATTTCCTGATGAAGTGTCTATAGATTCTTCCATGATCATCTTGTTTTTCCTCGTGTTTACCTGCAAAATGTAAAAAAGATTAATTTTCTTACCGTTCACAGATAATATTTAAATAAAACAGTCGTATACAAAAAAAGGAAGAAACAAAAAAACAGAACGAGACATAATAAGAAAAAATTTTCGAAAGAATTACTTCAATTTGCCGAAACTTTCATCATAAACCTTGGTGAACTATAAGAACACATTAACATTTTCATATTAAAGAACTTTTTTATGGTTAAATAATTAAATTAATATCGTAACGAATCGAACTAGTTTCAGAGAGAAAAAGAAAGAAAGATAATTATTTGAACTAAAGAAAGCGTTTTTTTCTTACCTTCAACAATGATCTGGTCGTCGACAACACGAACGTTTACTTCATCCGGAGAAAATTGACTGGTATCTATCTGCACTGAAAACTGCCGTGGAAAAAATTTTAAATAAAATAGACAGTTGCATATTACTGTTATAATTAAAAATTAAAAATGTACAAGTAAGTCGTTGACAGTAACGCGAATACTTTTCCTAGCATTGCGTTTTCAATACATTAATTCGCAATTTATACACATTTAAATAACAAAAGATTGTCGAAACAATAACACCACCTCAGATCTTTTTCATTTCGTTTCGGTATGAAAATTGCATCAACATGAGTAAAATCAATATAGAACTAGAAACAATAAAGTACTTGCATGAAAAAAAAATCACACCCTCCGAACAAGTTAAATCTATATTACCTATTCAAATGAGAAAAAAAAAAAAAAACTCACTTTGTCCTTATCGTCTTTGATCACCGACTGGCCTCGTTGATATTGCTCCTGGTCACGATAAAAGTCGGCCAAAGCTCGTGAATGCAACGGACTCTGCATCTCCCGGAAAATCTTACGCTCGAGGGGCGTGAAAAACGACTCGGGGTGCATCATGAAGTGCTGACCAAAGTGTTGATCGAACAGCCGATGCGGCCTTTCCATCTGCTCCCACATCTGCGTCATTAGCTTCGGGATCAGTGACACTCGCGATCTCATTATTGCAAGCTTCTTTGCTGAACTTTCACGGGATGAAATTAATTAAATTTTAACCAAGTACGATTGGTGATTCACACTCGATGCTCTCGCTTCGGAATTCAAACGTTAACTGAAGAGCGCACCCGCCCCACGCCGCTTTTTATGCGCCGTACGGGCAAACAAAACGTACTCGATACGTTTTCTAAATGCGTCGCGAAGGTACTCAAAGATGCTCGGCTCTTCTAGAATTGTTCACTCCCTTCGGTTTGTATATTGTGTTTTAAAATTACTCGGAGCTTGCAAATCGTTGCAGAGATTTTTATTATATTTTGTCGGGTTTAAACTTCGAATGTGTACTGAGTATCTTTATTGTTGCAGTATTGAAATAAACGCACCGGCACAATTACGTAAGCCAACCCTAATGCTTGGTATCGTTCTATCATTTGAACTTGCGAGCTTTCGATCAGTTTTTTTTTTTCAAAATTCGGTGACTTTCGGGTACTCTTTTTATTTTAATACGCAATAATGCACTTTATGGATACGAATACAAATGCGCCTTTTTAAAAATTGGAATAAAATTGGAAACGAATTCATCGGTGCTCATGAATTTCGATGAACGTTAAGAAACGTTCGTACGAGCTTTCTCCTCCCTCAAAAATCATATTAGTTATAAGAATAAGCTTTTTTTTGTATTAGCACACAGATACTTGAACCCCACCCCCAATTTGGTGTTATCATAAACACTTACAATTTATAGTTATTTTTTTGCACCTTTTCACAGCTACACTGTAGGTGATGATAGCTATTATAATTACAGCTTATTTTTGCGGCTAATAATTTTTGACTGTCACTTTTAAATTGAGCAAAATATTAAAGTTGTCAGAAAAAACTTGGATACTTTTAAGTATACCTGTACGTATGTGAATAAAATTTCATTTCTGCATTCGGATAAATCCACGTAGAAAACAAATACCGAATCTATCAGGTGTTACATACTTACAAGCAAAAGCTGAACGTTTGTCGGCCAGTTTTATAAATTCGAAAGTCTAGTGCGTAAAAAACACGTCACCCCTGAAATGTACGAGAATCGCTTGTTAGTGGCATGTTTGTTTCACGATACCCTTATTCTTCCAAAACTTGTGAGAAACAGAATAGAAAGATGACATAGGCGAGCAAAAAACACGCCGAAACATCCCGAAAAATGTTAGGTATATACTGAAATCAGTCAACAATCCACAAAAAACGAGACACGTATTGACCCTCCAGTGTGCCACGTGGCCCTACCCCCAACTCGAATTGTTGCGAATCGTTGTGGCTCGAGAAGCATCGCGAATCTCGATAAAATATAGGTAGGTACTTACGTGTCGCTTCTGGAAAGCTCCCTGTCCTGCTCCCCCACCCGGTGCTTTCTTCCCGCCCTCCGACTACCCTACAGCGCCGACGCTCTCCGGCTCTCTCACTCTCTCTCTATAACACATGTGTACTGAGCGGCACATATATATAAAAAGGTGCGCGCCGAAGTGCCGCTAGTTTCAAAACAGAAGAAAAGATCGACGCTTTGGAAGCTGTCTTCGCTTCGCTCGTATACCTACATAGTTACGTTTTACTTGCGTTCCGCGATAATCACAGAGAGTTTCGTCAATCGAATATTTCATTTCGTTATCGGTAAAGCTTTTTCGAGTATTAATTTTCGGTGAGACGGTGTATAACAACGAAACATGGTGACTGCATTGTTACCGTTGCTCCTGTCGACGGCCTATTTCGGTGGCGACAGGAGCCGGCTGTTCGACCAAGACTTCGGAGTCGGTCTTCGCCCGGAGCAGCTGCTCCTCTCCCGCTACGACTACCCGCTTTCGGCTCGGGATCGTGCCATCTTCGACCTGTTCGACAACTCCAACTACCTCCGGATGTTTCCCGAAGTCTTCCGTTCCTCGATCACCGGGGGACTTTCGAAGGTCTACCGGGACAAGGACGACGGCAACTGGAAGGTGCTCATTGACGTAAAGCAGTTCAAAGTAGAGGAAATCGAGGTCAAAGTTATCGATAATAACGTCGTCGTCACCGGCAAGCACGAGGAGAAACAGGATGAGCACGGCTTGGTTTCGCGGCAGTTTGTACGGCGTTACGAAATACCAAAGGACGTCGAGCCGGACACCATCTCCTCGGAGATATCGTCGGACGGAGTGTGAGTGTTTTTTTTTTTTTTTTTTTTTTTTTTTTTTTTTTTTTTTTTTTTTTTAAGTTTTT